CAGAAATCCCACTTATGGGTTAGTACTCAAAAGAAACGAGAGCAGGAAACTGAACATATATGTATTTGTACACCTGGGTTCATAGCAGCATTATTCACAATAGTCAAAGGTGGAAACAACACAAGTGTCCATGGAAGGATGACTACACATACAATGGGATTAAATTCAGCCTTAAAAAAAGATGAAATTCTGACACATGCTATAACATGGATGAACCTTCAGGACATTATGCTTAGGGAAACAAGTCACAGAAGAACAAAAACTGTATGATTCCACTTCTATGAGGTCCCTAGAGTAGTCAGTTTCAAAGACAGAAAGTAGATTAGAGGTTATCAGGGCTGGGGGAGGGGATTGGAAAGTCAGTATTTAATGAAGACAGTTTCAGTTTGGGAGGATAGAAAAGTTCCAGAGAGGATGGTGGTGACGGTCACACAACAGTGTAAATGTATTTATTGTGTCTCTGATCTGAACACCTAAAAATAATTAAAATGGTAAGTTTCATGTTATGTATATTTTACCACAATATTTTTTTAAAGTGAGAGGAGATTCTCTTGCACATATTCTCATGTGAAGGAACCATTCTTCAGGAAGAAACAAAACTCAGGCCTGCCGCCACCATACCTTCGCAGCATTTGCCCTTCCCCCAGCTCTCATCTCCCGATAACCAGATTCTTTGGGCAGAAACTCCTGGAATTCTGTCAAACAGGAAGCACAGATTTGGCCCAGGACTTGCCTCCTCTCAATCCTGTCTCCACAGCTTCTGTGAGAGGGACCCCATGAGGATAATTTCCAGGAAGGCTAGATGTGGGTGCCCATCTTCTAGGCAACATCAGATCTGCCTCCATGTGGCAGATCAGCCACACAGGCTCAGAACTCAGGAGGAGACAGGGTACAGGGAGAAGGCTTCCACACTCCACCCAGCTCTGGGCTCCCTCCCACATCCAGCATCATGAGTGTTGTGCACCCTGGGCATTTTGCAGACCCATCTACCTGAGTTCCACCCAGGACATCATGTCATTAATTGTGGTCTGTGTCAGAAAGGACGCGCCATCCCTGCTCTCCAGCAGCTCTGCTCAATACTGCCAAACACACGCATGGAACCAGTGGGGATAGGCACTCAGAGTGGGAACTGGTAACAAGGAGGGTCCTTCTGCTGCAGTTACCCACCTACCACTGGGTCAGAGAGTTCATTAGAGAACAAGATTCTCAGGGAACACTGCAGAGGAAAAGCTGAAGTTCAGTTTGATGGCTGAGCAACGTCACCATTAAAGTGATTTGGTCTCACAGAGTGACTGCTCTCTGGAGCCCTCTGGTGCTGGCACTGGCCTCTAAGGAAAGGTGGACTCCGTGCCTGGCTCCAGCCTGAGCACTCCCCGGAAGGCTGAGCACCTGTGTGAGTAAAGTGGGCAGCAAGTCCCTATACAGCGGAGAGCAGGGTCCAGCTGAGAGCTGAGGACTGCCCGGGAGCCAAGAAGTCACAGTGCGGTGGGGCGGGTGGGGGAGGAAGGGGAACGGGAGATGGTGTGCATGGAGAACTCCTTCGCTGACACACTCACTTGGATATTGAAATATTAAAATTCAAGTATATTCTTCAAGCTTATTCTGTCCCCCACCCTGCCACGTCCCAAATCTGGATAAAAAATTACAGTGTGCTTTATAAATTCATAGAAAATATAAACATAGCAAGTCCAAAGAGAGAGGCAGGTAGGAAGACAGAATCTTCCTCCTGTAAACAAAGATAGGTGTCAACCAAACCTCACTATGAATCAGCTGTGACAATTCTTTGGGCTGAAGATTTGCTGCTGAAGAATGTCACTCACCCACTTTGAAATATGATGACCAGAGGCTTCATTCAAAACATTTAATACTGCCCTGGCCAGCATGGCTGTTGGTTAAGCATCATTCCATACACCAAGAGGTCATAGGTTTAATTCCCAGTCAGGGCACTTACCCTGAAAACAGTATGCCCCAATAGGGGGCATGCAAGAGGCAGCCAATGCTATTTCTCTTTCTCTCTCTCTCTCTCTCTCTCTCTCTCCTCTCCCTCACTCCCTTCCTCTGTCTAAATCAATAAAAACATAGCTGAAAAAAATTTAATGCCCTGTACAGCACAGTCCTGACCATTCAGAACAGAAATCAGCTATGGGCACTGGAATCACTGCTGGTGCACAGGGGTTGAGCAGGCTTCCTGGGGACAGAAGCAGCTCACACCTGGGATGACCAGAGCTCAGATCCTAGGACTGTAGACACTCCCCAGATGGACACAGGGCTTGGGGAGGCCACCAGCAAGTGACCAGAGGCTCTCAGGGGAAAAGAGTACTGTTCTTATTCCTAGCCCTTCTCATATGACCTTCTTACTATGAAAGCTTTCAGGGCGTTATCTGTCCAGTGGTCTGGGGGGTATTTTTCACTCTCTGTGCAGGGAACCTAGGAGCCCTTCAGGTCCCCAGTTCACCCTTCTAACCACATGCTCCTCTGTCCCACATCCTGGGCCCCCATTAGCCAGGAAGTGACCTCTGGGCTAATGGTCAGTTTTCTCATCTATTCCCCCATGGCTATAGTTTTGTTCCACTTTCTGGAAAATGCCTTCAACTTAATCTTCCAGCCCTTCTAAGATCTTTTAAAAAATTCTGTTATTTTAAAAGCTCTGTCTGTTTTTCTGGAATGTTCCTTTCTCTTTTTTAAAGAAATATTTTATTGATTTTTCACAGAGAAGAAGGGAGAGGGACAGAGAGCTAGAAACATCAGTGAGAGAGATCGATCAGCTGCCTCCTGCACGCCCCCCACTGGGATGTGCCCGCAACCAAGGTACATGCCCTTGACCGGAATTGAACCTGGGACCCTTCAGTCTGCAGGCCAACGCTCTATCCACTGAGCCAAACCGATTCGGCTGGAATGTTCCTTCCTAACAGCATCCTGTTCTTGGATGCAGAAATTCTTTATGTTAGACAACATTAATTATAAGGTTGTTAAGGTTCCCGAATGTGTTCCTCACCTTGTGGTGGCCCTTGGCTGTCCATTTACTCCTCAGAGATCCTAAAAACCTGTAGGAGCCCTGGTTGGTGTGGCTCAGTTGGTTGGAGTGTCCCATGCAGGTTCAATTCCCGGTCAGGGCACATGCCCAGTTTATAGGTTCAATCCTCGGTTGGGCTGTGTACCGGAAGCAACTGATCAATATTTCTCTCTCACACTGATGTTTCTCTCTCTCTCAAATCAATAAAAAACATATCCTTGGGTGAGGATTAAAAACCCATGGGAAGTTCTAAGTGACTCTGTCTTGTGAACTGGGCTTATAATAAAGCTGCCAGGAACCTTGGGGAGTGTGGTGCTCATGTCGCTTGGACTGATGACTATTCCAATCTGCTGCCACAGGGCCCCTACCTGAGCACTAAGGATGAAGGGCAGCCAGGGTCTCCTCACTTGGAATGGACTTACACTTGGTGCCGGGAGCCGGTCCATCCTTGCTGTTTCAAGGGACCTGGCATATATGGCATACTGTTCTTAATATGTTTGCTCACCTTCTTTGCACTATGTGTTTTAAACAACCTCTCTGAAAAGGTTGTTTCCCCAGGTAGGGATTTTCCCCTGAAGTTAGGGAGGGAATAAAACCCCTTAACTAAGTGCCAGGCGGGTAATTAATCACTTTATACGAACAATCATGCTTTTCTTTACTCCCTGGAATGGAGATAAGAAACGCCCTAACCTTTGGAATAGAGATTGATAGGATTAGAATCAACTGGAATAAATACAGATGCAACAAGACAACAGGACACAGAACTTAGGACACAGAACTTAGAGACAGAACATAGAAGACAGAACCTAGAGATAGAACCTACACAGAACCGAGAGCCAGAAGAACTTCGCTGGAGAGAACATG